CAAGAAAGAAATTTGAGCTTATTTTGGATGATTTTAGATTCTTATTATTTCGTTGGCTGTGCGAAAGGCGCAGAGAGCCAAACCAAGACACCGGAATATGATGGAGGACAGCGTTTTGTAAAAAAATAAATAACAGGATGTCTACATTTCAGGAGGGGAAGCGTAACCTTCAATGACAGGCTTCCAATGTCAACATGAGTATGGAATGTTATGTTCCGTTGATGTGCGGACATCAAACAGCACTGCTAATTCTGTTTGCTGTTCTCCAACAAGTATGAACTTCCAGTTCCCCACTTCCATTGATAGCCAATATTAATGGTACCGCTCATTAGTAGCAGTCAGACCTGCCTATATAGTGAAGCAAAATAAATATATTTTTAAAAGCATGGCCTGAAAATGTCTTGCTGGGGTGTTGGAAACAAATCATATATGTGGTTCACTTGAGTTCACACTCACCGAAGTGCAAGTAATTGTCACAGAGGATCTTACATACACATGCTGTACCTTGTGCACCCTGTGTATAATTACAGACTGTTCTCTTACAATGCGGTTGTTGCGTTCCTGAAGAATACCGCGTTATGGAAAAGTCACGTTTATAATAAATAATATATAATATAGGGTAAAGCATAGCCTACGATAACACGTGATATGTGTATGCAGGCTGAACAATGACTGAGGCGCGTGCTTAGCATCTAGAAGCATCCAGCAGCATCCCGCCGTGTGTGATGCTACGCCGAGGCAGCCGTGCAAGTCGCGCGATGTAGTTCTGTTCACTTATTCACGTTATAAGCAATTCGCATCCACATTGTAAAAAATGTGTCGCCTCATACATTCATCGCGGTATATCCAGTTGCCATTATGAAAACACGCGTTATAGGAGAACAAACTTTACGTTAAGAAGTTGTAAAACAGTTTTAAAAGGTACAATATTAAAATTAATAACACACCCAAGTACTGCTTACTTTTTTAAAGTTAGGCATTTATTAGAATAGTGTACAATTTACAACTTGTTCTCAAAGTTCATTTTTTTAGCAGAGTTCTTCATCAAGAACAGTATCTCCTGATGTATAACTGTAGTGGTTCACACAAAGGGAGACAAAGGCTTCTTTGGAGGCAACACGTTTATTTAACAATTCCACCCGAAACACAAAGGGGGTATCTCCCCTTCCACAGATAACCTCCGGGCTAGCCAAACCCTAACACACACTGGGGAGGCCATATTAGACCGGACCCTGACTCGAGTCCGGGTCTTGTAGTCGAGGCTTTTCTTCCAGGCGACGACTTCGTGTCTTTATTCGTACAACAGCAGCCAGCCCCGTTCAGGGCTCCGGCTTATATTGTCAGTGGCGGGCTCGTTCTGCCCCTAGCCATGCCCGCCTTCTGGAAGTTCCCAGAAGGATCTCGATGGGACCTGTGGTCCCCCAGCCCCCTCTTTGGGGGTCCCCCCAGTCAGTACCTCCGGTCACGTGTGCTTTGCTGTAACTACCTGCACCTGTTGCTGTAACTACCTTTTCTTCTCCTATGTCACCACCACTCATGCCTCTGCAGACTTATCACCAGCCAGATTGCACAATTTAACATTAAATTATTTTCTAAATAACAGTGTGAGGCGGAAAACACGTGTAAGTGTATAATATGACATTGCATAATAAGTGTGTGTGTGTGTCCATGACTTTAAATGATCTGGTTGAGGGCCAACTTGCGCAGACCCCCAGCATCGCCAGGTGGAGATGAACCAGCCATCCCCTCTGTGAGTGTTGCCATCGTCCTCCGTGTCATCTCTGGTTGACACTCGTCCCACTCGTATTTCTTTGTAACAGAGAATCCAAAGGCGTCCAATAAGTCTTAGCGAGATCAATGTGGGGGAGTGGGGGGGGGAAAGGAAGGAAAGTTAAGAAGGAAGAATGAAGATAGTGTTTGTATCAACTGAACCAGCAATTGTGTAATGAGAGAGCACACCGACATGCCGAGGGCTGCATTGCCGCATCGGTCATAGCCAATCAGGGCTGCGGATTCGATCTGGGCCAAAGTTCATGGGCGGAGCTCAGGGCTACGTGCGGGAACCATCGAGAAGGTTCTGAAGGGGGCGTGGTTAGAGGCGGGGCTTCGCTCCGCCAAGGAGGATATAAGGAGAGGCAACAGGAGGAGGACTCGGGGTTTGGTGTGGAAGCCTTGGGGTCCGGACCGCGTCTCCGCCACCTCGTCAGCCACCGACCACGTGGCGGCCGCGAGCGAAGCTCTCCCGATTCCCGGCGCGTCGTCCACCAGCGGCGCGCGGGGGAAGCGAGAGCGAGGGAAGCCGCGCGGGAACGGAGGAGCAGAGAGCCGCGTGCATGCGGCGAGAGAGAGAGAGAGGGTGACCATCTAAAGAGAGTGAGGAGCCGAGCAGCCGTAGCTAATAAAGAAAGGACGCAAGTCTCAACGTGTCGTGGAAGTCGTTGATTACAATTGTACTCCACGGGCTGCGAGGACAGCAGCTCGATGGGACGAGATCATGGAAGCTTTGGGGCTGTTCAGGCCTATGAACTGGTGCGGGAGCCACACACACCAGTGGCACGGATATGATCACATCCCCTGCTGCAACGTGCAGTGCCGCAATGTGTCGGTTATGATATTGCATCTCGATATTTTATCCACGATGGAGATTCCAGAGGGTAGAAGTGTTTGGCTCCTCACAGAATTCCGAGTGCTTCCTTTTGGACTTGTGGCACTGAGGGTCATTACGAAGATGCTTGTAGTCCGACTTGTGGCATTGCAGGGTGAAGGTGTGGAATTAGATTTCGGTGTGTGGACGACATTGTCATCCGACCTCGGTCAGAAATGGGTCTGAGCAGGGCAGTGGACAAGGACAGCCAAGGTTCTTGTTGGACCATGCCTGGGTACCGAACATCCCCAAGCAACAACTGGAGTCGATCCACATGATCGTGTATCTATGAGTGGAGTTCCTTAGATGTCAGAGGATGATCAGGCCCTTCCCGGGCAGACCAGAATCTCTGAGAAGGATTGTTCATATTGTCTTCAATTCATCGAATGTTATTGGCGAGGGTCACGATGATGCCGAAAAGAAACGACTTTTCTTTTGTAAAAACACAACATGGAATAATGAATCCCAGTAGTGTCTCGCCTTTATTAATTTATACAACAACAATAAAAAAACCTGGATTGAATCCAGGTCTCTCCCTTGCAAAGCAAGTGATTAAGTAATGGCCATTCCTCAAGCAACTCATGCTAAATTTAAATCTCTTGGTGCGCTTGCAGTTTGAAACGTTGCGCTTTGGTGAGCTCCTCCGTCCGGTTAAATTAAGGGAATTGACTCGTATCCCGGCTGTGTTCTCAAACCAATGGTAAACACAGGAGACGTATCGATCGCCGTGTCTCCGTCACGACGTGGCGCATCGAAAGCTTCTGCCTTGCCCGTCTTGCAGCAGACAATGCGTGCGCCAACCAACGCCCCTGTTCCTTTGTTTTCCTCGCCGGCACCCCCTGCTAGATAGACGTGAGCAACACGGACCGCGCTTTTCGGCTAGTAACGGTTTCCACGGCAACTCAGAATTTCAACCCTGGAAACAGGTTCACTTAATGTGTGCGTTGGCATGTGCCATTGGGCGGGGGTGTTCATTAGACTGCTGCATTTATAGAACATGTTTGCTTGTTCTTTAGCCTAAGCAGCATTGTATTTTATGCGACTAGGGTGCTTTCAGATGAATTTCGCACACCGTCATTTGTAATATGCAGTATACGTAACTGTGCGTGTTATAGCAGTGACCTTGCCTTTCATGCATTGTGCCTGCATCCCAGTGCAGTGTACATTAACATTGACAATTGTTTTTTTTTAATCTGGCATGGGCCTCACCTAGGTTGTCAGCTCGGTCTTCAATCTGTACCTGTTGTGGTGCGATCGACATTATTACTCGGGAGACAAATACATCTCGCCGTTGTCATGGCTCCACGACTCTTAATGTATGTCATTTTGGCCTTAATAGATGCTTGCTATAGAAAGCTATATAGGGATATTTTCATCAGAATTTGGCTGTAATAATAACAATAATTATAACAATTATAGTTATTGTAATAATTATAATAATGAGTGCATTTGGAAGTCACCCCATTCTTATAGCGAAAGACTGCCACGAAGGCACCGTGTGTTTTTTTTTTATTAACCATTAAAGCAAAATATGGTCATGATATAGTCTTAACATTTATAATTTTCTACTGCACAGCCGAGGCGGTGTCGAGGCAGCGCCGAGTCGGCCAGGCACAGCTTGAGAGCAGTGACGCACCTCGCGCGTGATGTCGGCAGCCACGCTGACATCCATCGCACGCAATTGATGAGTTGAGACGCATGCAGATGATGTGGCGTGTGCCACTGCGCGAGTTGTACCATGTGACGTCGCAAGCACTGTGAGCTAGGTGTCATTAACCCTGGCCCTGCTTGGTCTCGAGCCCAGATTCGGATGTCTTTCGAGGCCAACATATCATGGTTTGGTTCTGGCTTGGCTTAGTCTGTGAGGGCCCTACGCTGGCTTGGCTTGGAAGTGCCAGTGGAAATGAGGTCATCATTTGTAGCTGCTGGGGTTTGCTGTTAGCCGATGATGTTGTGTGCCTGCGTTTGCTGCGCGGCGGAGGTGCTGAGGAGCGGTAGTGTAGTTGCCGTTAGTGTTGCTGCGCTACGAACCCGGCGACCCGAGTTCGATTCCCGCTCACGGTCAACACCAGTGACGATTATCTGAACCGGTCATGGGCCTCCCCTAGGTCGACTCAGCTTCAAATGAGTACCTGGTGTGGGTATGTAAAGGCTAGATTTAAAGCTTTCGTGACTGCAAGGATCCATACTCTTTGGTTCTATTGGGTAAAGTCACGTAGGTAAAAAAAAAATAACAAAAATCACGACGTTTCGGCCACAACACAAGCGGCCTTCATCAGGTGAAGGGACGAGACTGTCTCTGCCCCCAAAAGTTTGTAAATCTATACGGGGGATCTTTCCCTTTGTCTTTTTGCAGCGGAGGAGGTGGCTCGGCTCGCCGCCATGCGCTCCGAGTCCCTGGTCCCCGGCGCGCACACGCCGCCGATCCGCCGACGCAGCAAGTTCGCCACCCTCGGTCGAATCTTCAAGCCCTGGAAGTGGCGCAAACGCAAAAGCGAGAAGTTCAAGCAGACGTCCGCAGGTACTGCTCCCCGGGCATCCACTCGACCAGCCACAGCCTTCATCTTCGCTTTGACTTTTATTATTTTTTTACTGAGTAAGGCTCACTGAGCTACGTAGCCCTTTCTCAGAAGCGACCTGGTCACCTCAACAAAGTAGATTGTCACGTGTTCTTCATCGCAAGGCCCACGGGCCACTGGGCGGCCCTGGCGGCTTTTAATGCGGCCTCTGACGTGCGGCCCCCAACAATACACAAATAGTGAAAAGAACCCCTTGCAGGCGGTGTGGCGGCCCTCACACTGATGATGTTATTTCAGCGAAAGTGGCCCCCCTCTGAAAATTAGTGAAGAACACTGTTCTAAACGCATGTTCATTCTAAAAGTGGAGGGAAAAACCGGAGGACCCGGAGAAAAATCCACGCGACCACGGGGAGAACATGCAAAGATGCAGGCATTGAGAAGTCCTGACCTTGACTTTGAATGTTCCAGCCAAGGAATTTATTGTATGACACTAAACTCTGCACCACGAATGCATATAATAATAATAAAAAACATACATATATATTGGCCCATCTCTTCTGAAGATCCAGCACTTGCATTATTCCCAGCAACATACCCTTTTTGCATGCATTGGCACGTAATGAAGAAATAATAAATCACACTTCCATCGTGCTTGACTCTCTTTGAAGGGTATCAGTATGGTAATTGGAGGACAGGCAGGGAGCGCTGGTGCATGTACAATTGAGTCACGCATCCTGTCACTGTAAGAGAACACTGCTCAGAAAGGTCACACAGAGATGAGCCACACTCCCTTGGAACATTCGTTTTCATGAAAAGGACCACTTTGCAGATTGAAAGTCTCGTGGATTATTTTCCCCATACAAAAAAAATTGACTTGTTTCCTTTATTTACAAAAAAATGCCCCCAATATTTATTACAAAGTAGGAGTATTTCCCCGTTGTTTCAGGTCTACTTGGGTGTCATTTATTGGTTAGTCTAGCAGTCTGCGATCCTAGGAACCTAGCTTTGATTCCAGGCCATTCGCACCTTGTTAAATTTGTATCTAAACTAAACAATTTTTTGTTTTATTAGGTAAGGCCCACTGAGTTATATGGTTCAGTGGGCCTTACATCTCGCCACTATATAATTGTGACCTGGGTTTTGTGGAGGTTTTGTTAATGTGTGATTTAAGGTGTGAAATCAGAAACCAAGAAGACAATAGCCTACACTCGTCAAGGATGCCATCCCAGAGTCTGTGTTATCCACTTCATGACAGACAGCACACTTTGATAAATGTCCTGCTACTGAAATTATTGGGTAGCATCAGCAATCAAACTGTCAACTCCATGTAAAACTGGCTCAGGAGTGAGCACAATGACCTCCAGGCTCTCCCAGCCTCCTGTCCCAAGGCTTGCAGCCACTTGAGAGGGTGATGACAATTTTATTTTTGTTTCTGCCAACATGGGGTGTCAATCTATGGTCTAGGCACAGCTGGCTCCAAGCGAAACAATAAATATATAATAATACATCTTTCAAAATTGGATGATTGTAAAACAAATCATGCGGGATTCAAAAGACAAGAGACTTTAATGTGAATTAAATGCGGATTATATGAAATCTCCAAAGCAATACTTAACACAAAAAAATACAACACTTCAACGCTCTGGCAGTAATGAATGCAAAGACGTATTTCGTGTGGCTAAAAATATACCCCCGTGTCCTCAAGGAGCAGACTGCACAGAAGCACGCAGCCGTTTGCCACCCCTGCAGCCACATGACGTAACGTTGAAACCCTTCCGTCTCCTCGCAGCGCCAGCCATGCCCCTCTCACTCTCCAGCTTCAAAGCGGTGGCTTTGTGTTGTTTTTGGTTTCCGTGCTAGCAATGCATGCTAAATTCATCTTTGCCGTTCTTTAGGTCTTAAGACTGGCGTAATACTTTATACTCTCTTACTCTGGACCATAGAATTAATGAATAGAATTGGCCGAACATCCCAATTGTGGGACCGCTCCTGAAAATCAGTCTTGGGTGAATAACGGGCATGAGTCTATATTTATTATTTTCTGAAGAAGGCAGTATATTGTGTTGTGATGCGCTGTATGAAGCCCCAGTGTTAGTCTAAGTGGTCGGGATTATCGTCACACCTAGATGGGGTGGCTGGGTGGTTATAGTGTAACTGCTGCCTTATGTATTGGTTTTACTGTAATTACTCTTTGGTTCCTTCGGTAAAGTCACATAGAAAGAAAATAAATTAAATAATAGAGTACGACGTTTCGAATGCAACACAAGCGACCGTCATCAGGCAGAACTAAATTTAAGAGAGAGACAAAACACAGACACGGAGACACAGACAGACACACAAGCAGAGAGAGACAACACAGAGACATACAGAGAGAGACACACAGACAGACACACAAGCAGAGAGAGACAACACAGAGACATACAGAGAGAGACACACACATAGACACACAGACAGACACACAACCAGAGAGAGACAACACACAGTCACACAACACGTGTCTGTGTTTTGTCTCTCTCTCAAATATAGTTCTACCTGATGACGATTGCTTGTGTTGCAAGCGAAACGTCGTACTCTGTTATTTAATTTATTTTCTTTCTACGTGACTTTACTGAAAGAACCAAAGAGTAATTCCTGCAGTCACGAAAGCTTCAAATCAAGTTTTTTTACTGTAATTGTTTAATGGTTACATTGAGCATATAGACGGAATAGGTGGTCTTGTGATAGTCCTGAGCCATAGTGCTGGCTGCTCTAGTGATAGTGTGAGCTCATCCATTGGTAAATGCTCCGGTCTTCTTAACCATATTAAGTAGGAATCAAATCCATCTACTTTAGAACAGAAGTCCAATGTGCCTACACCGAGCACCACAAGAGCAACAGCACCGGAACATTTCACTAATTAATTCACGTGGAGTGCCATGGCGCGCAGCGGTCTTCTTATGCGAGCAGTGCCGCAGGATCGGCGATGTCTTAATCTGGAGGAGTGAACAGCGGGCATTGTGTCCAATGCGTGTAACATGGCTAGGACTGGGCTGGCTTGCCACGTCTCGTGCCACACTGCCAATTATGAATTAACCAGCTTCACTACCCGGCTTCACCCGGGACTTGGATTCACCACGCCCGGCCGCCTTTGTCCCCCCAGTGGCGATGTTCACACACCACACGAGTTACTCGTTTGAGGCTGAGTTGACCTAGGGGAGGCCCAGGACCAGTTCAAATGATCGTCACCGGTGGTGGCCGTGAGCGGGAATCGAACTCGGGTCGCCGGGTTCGTAGCGCAGCGCGCTAACCACTACACTACCGCTCCCCCCACACACACACACGCGCGCCTCCATAGGTACACATACACACGCTTGCTGCAGACACACACACAACTTTTAGGGTGCGTACGGCAGTAAACGACTGCAATAATAAAGCAATGCTGCGCGAAGAACTCCTTAGACCTACAACACATTTGTACGTCACTTTACCCGCGGAGGGTTGGGGGGGAGTGACATCAGCAGGCACAATGCGTGACGCTTCCGCGTGCAGGTGACGTCACAGCTCACTTGCCGTGCAAAATACATGCATTGTTGCGCCTTCCCCCCCCCAAAAAAAACGCAAAAGTGTATTTTTATAATTTTTGCATGGTGTACAGTCTGGAAAGTACCCACATGGCAAATTTCAAGTTTGTTGCATGTTGGGAAGCACGCTAAACATTTTTAACAGACACACATATTCACACATTTCCCCTTTATATAGATAGATAGAAGAGCTTTATTCGGAGTGACGCTATTGCCCCTTTTCCTGATGACGACCGCTTGTGTTGTGAACGGAATGTCGTAGTTTTTTGTAATTTTTATTTGAAACTATCTACGTGAACTTTACCAAAAGACCTGAAGAAAATCAATAGTGAGGTAAAAATTACTTGGTATGCATCGATTATATGATGCTTTCTAACGTGTGTGTTGTCTTCGGAAGTAGTTCATTTAGAACTGCAGGTTGCTTTTTGGGCAAAATGATTTTCCATATGAGTAAATATACTAGTTTTCAGCTGGGTATGTCAGGCATAGCAACACAACTTTACCATACAGGATATTTAATTTTGGATAATGTTTACGAGAGATATTGTGCTCCCCCCCACCACCCCACACCATCCCCTGCTGTGGACGGACGGATGGAGGGATGGACGGCGGATACAGGGTTCATGTATAAACACTTTTAACCTCAATAAGCATTAAAAACTTATTTTAAGACCACTTAAACTGAAAGGCACTATTATATATTTAAAGCGTTAACGCATTTAAAAAAAAAGCATCACTATGATTAATGTTGTTACTCTGAGAAAAATTGCATCATTTTATTTAAACGACATCACAAAGGTGTCACCAACTACAAGAACGGTCACTTATGATGAACGCACTGCAGGCCTGGATTTCAGGAACCACGCACAGTGTATCGCACGGGAATATTAGACATCACAAGTAACGTTCCAATGACACAAACGCAATCGAGCGGAACCCTGACACTGTATGCGTGGCTTCTTGCAATCGCGACAGTGGCCGATGGACTTATAAAGGCACAGCACACCGCTATGTGCATGACGCACTTTGCCTTCCCCGCATTCGCAACTAAAATGTTTCCTTTGACAGCTCCATCCCAACAATTACTTGAAGAAACTAATTAAGTGAGATCTCTCGTAAAGATTTTTTTTTAATTTCCCCGACGGGCGATAGTGTCACTCAGAATAAAGCTCATTAATTCATAATTGTCAGTGTGGCACGAGACGTGGCAAGCCAGCCCAGTCCTAGCCATGTTACACGCATTGGACACAATGCCCGCTGTTCACTTCTCCAGATTAAGACATCGCCGATCCTGCGGCACTGCTCGCATAAGAAGACCGCTGCGCGCCATGGCACTCCACGTGAATTAATTAGTGAAATGTTCCGGTGCTGTGGCTCTTGTGGTGCTCGGGTGGGCACATTGGACTTCTGTTCTAAAGTAGATGGATTTGATTCCTACTTAA